AAACAATATATAACATATTCTTGTACGGCATTAGTAATCAATAAATGCCATTATTTATTTATTTAAAGTCTGAGACAGACTAGTTTTTTTGTTTTTTTTACAATACCTTTATTGCACAATTCATATTAACAGGGATTTTTTTAAACTGACTTATGTTTCTAAAAGATAAATAACTTTAAAAATACTTAAATTGTTTAACATGATGCAAGGCCCGGCATGGCCAGGTGGTTAGGGTGCTCGACCCGCAATCTGCGGGTTCGAATCCCCGTCACACCAAACATGCTCACCCTTTCAGCCGTGGGGGCGTTATAATGTGACAGTCAATCCAACTATTCGTTGGTAAAAGAGTAGCCCAAGAGTTGGCGGTGGGTGGTGATGACTAGCTGCCTTCTCTCTAGTCTTACACTGCTAAATTAGGGAAGGCTAACGCAGATTGCCCTCGTGTAGCTTTGCGCGAAACTCATAACAAACCAAACATGATGCACTAAAATATTAAGTTTACATTAGCCCCGTATTTAACTATGTCGACTGTTATTAACACCGCTAATGATAACTTTATGTTTCGGTGTGCACTTTATTGAACTCTTTCAGCAAACCACAAAGTTTTGTAGAAACCCTATTCTAACGCCTAAAGGTTGCCAACATATGTAAAAAAAACAGATTCCAAAAATGGGAAAGTTTTTTCTCAAAGGATCTCCCAATTTACAAATAAAACAGATTGACATACGTTTTCTACACGTTTTAACTGGTGTATTCGTTGTTGGTGCAAGCTTTGAACTCCAATGTTGGAAGTTTTCACCATGCACAAACCTGACTAGACTATTGGAAAAAATTGCTACTTGTTAGAAATAAGCAACAGAAGATGAAAAGCAGTGTAAACTTATTTTGAAATGATGACAAGATATTTCTAATTTGGTTTTTATGACGTTTTAGGCAATACCTAATGAAGGGCTTTGGCCCGTAGCGTTGTCATAATTTCAAAATATATTTGCAGTGTTTTCCATCTGCTGTTGTTAATTTTTCAGAAGTGCTTTTTTATATTGTATTTATTCTAAATTATTTTATTTTTAAGAGCTAAGATGTCGTTATTATTCTTATTTTTTTATCGTTTACTAAATATATGTACTTGTTTGTTTTGTTGTTAAACGCAAAGTTACACAATGGGCTATTTGTGCTGTGCCCACCACGATTATCGAAACTCATTTTTTAGCATTATAAGTTTTGTTTTTGTTTTGTTTGAAGTTAAGCACAAAGCTACACAATGGGCTATCTGTGCTCTGCCCACTACGGGTATCGAAACCGGTTTCTAGCGTTGTAAGTCCGCAGACATATCGCTGTGCCACTGGGGGGCAGCATTATAAGTCCAGAGACTTGCCACTGGGGGAGGCAAATACATGTATAAATGATCTTTTAAAAGGTACACTGTTATTCTAAATGAAAGAGTAACACAAATTTTCAGTGGATGGCCCTTATTTTTATCAACCCCATCGAAGGGGAGGGACACAGCATGTGCTGTTATGACAATGGCCTCTTTAATTTTCTTCTCTTAATATTAGAACTTCTATCTACGATTTTTAAAGTTGAGGATGTGTTTCTTTGGTGGGAACGCCTTTTATAAGCTGACGAAGCATAATTATTATTATTTATACTTGTCATAAGACATTGGTAGTATTAAGCCTATTATATTTTTAACACTATATTATTTATCTATTCCATTAAGGATTTTCAAGAATTAAGAGACTGTATAATAATAGTATTCCAACCACACTATATTCGCCATATCCATTGTTGACGACGCGTTTTGCTCAATCCAGAACTCTTCAGGCCGGTTGGGATACAACAAACACAGTAGTAGTCGGAACACTATTTATATAAGCCACTTTTTACAACAATGGATGTGGTGAATATAATGTGATTGGAATACTATTATTACAAACTTTTCTAATTCTCGAAAATCCCTAAGAAATTAGATAAAGAACGTAGTGATTAAAAATATAATAGGCCTAATACTTATGACGTATGACAAGTATAATTGAAAATGTGTTTGTTGTCTCTAGCATGTTTGGCTACCGCTGATGCATGTATCACAGTTTCTGATATCTCTTTATTGTTCAGCCACATAGAAATGAACTGATTGTTTCTCTAATTTAATGTTTTTGAGTATTCACATTTTACTCCATAAACTACATTTTTGTTTGTTTTGAGGTTATTTCGACTTAGTTAAAGGCATCGGCACTGAACTAACCTTAAAGTGAAACAACGTGTAAAAAAAAGTCTGTAATCTATTATATTTGAACTTTGTTCATCGCCAGAAAAATCATAGTTTGATTTCAGACTGTTATTAACTAATTTTTATTTTGTAAGTTAATAAGTAGTTGACAAACCTGTATGTTGTTTTGGTAACAAAGGACGAGGTGAATTCATTCTATGAACTACAGCTTCTATTCTTATAATAAAAAAACAAGTTTATTTTAACCTTCTTGGGTTAGTGTATAATAGATAGTGAGTTTTATTACCACTAATAATTGAGCTGTTAGAACTAATGGATTTTACTCAACAAAATAATAAATACAATACATATATAACAAAATTTCTAAAATTTTACTACAGCTTCAAAAACCTTACGTTATATATTTAGATAATTGTGTGGGTGGAATTTTATAGAAATTATCCTTTTAGTATTTACTAAAAATAATCTTAAACAACTTATTGACTTTTGACTATTCAAACCCACCAAGCAGAAGGTTTAATAGACGGATAAATAAATTATCTGTATAGTCTTGAAAATTCTATTAAACATATATTTGTAAATAAATGTACGAATACTATCTCCTAAAATATAATGATCACATACATATAATATGATACAGATTTATAATATCATAGTTTCACATTCATTACATATTTGAATGTGTACAGACTTATAACGTAGATAAGTGTGTGTTTTTTTATAGCAGAGCCACATCGGGCTATTTGCTATGTCCAACGAGGAGAATTGAATCCAAGGTTTTAGCGTTGCAGATCCGTAGACTTACCGCTTTGGGATTAAGGTAAGTATGGAGAAAGAAACTTAAAAAAAAAAGATAAACGTTAGATATTCGTGTTTTTGTTTGTTTGTTTTTTCAAACACAATTAAATATTCAATGTTTAGCTGCGTAACATCAAAGACAAAATTTCCAAGGTATAGCTCATGTTATTAGTTTTTCGTGGCCTGAGCCCAAATAAAGTTGAAGATGAAAAATATTTGCCTATCATTCATGTCTATTAAGGGCCAAACAAAGAAACCCATTAAGTGCAGACTGAACACATAGTTTCTGAACTAGCTTGAAAGGTAATGTTAGGCTAGCCTAAATTTAGAAAGTCAAAAAGCTTTTAATTCTTATCGTACTTAAATGAAGTGAACTTATTGAATTTAAACATCATAGTTGTTTAAACGTCATACGTGGTACTAGTGTATTGAAGACCATTTAAAAAGTGGGATATATACAAGCTTCTAATTTTGACAACTGAGTTTGCCTTTTGTTAACGTTGATAGCCCACTCTCTCTCTCTCTTTTATCTTTGAATAAGCTCTACAAAAATTAGTAGCATAAATTAAACACTGCTGTAACGTAGGTTAAGTGTTCATGCAAAGGTATGCAATTTGCTATAAAGATACAGCCTTAAGGCCTCTATGATTTAAAAAGCTTAAGTTTGGAGAGTAACACCTTAAAGTTACTGACCTTTTGTAAACTAATGTATATATATATAAATAAATTTACGTTTTAAATTGTTATTGTCGAGAAGAAGGCTCCCTAGAGAAAAAAAATCAAACAGCGTTAATAGTACAAGTTTTGTCTGTTGATCTATGGCCTATATTTTAATTTGAACTTTGTATTTTAATTTTTATTAATATTTGAAAACATTATTTTGTTAGTGGGTTTACACATAGATTTATTTGTAAGATAGAAATTATTTTAAAAGTAAACTGTTGAATTATTTGGACTACTGTGTGTTATTAAGAAACTATTAATTAATTAATATAACCATTTATTGCAACGCATTTATTTAAATCGAATGTAATAGTATCATTCATTTCTAAATACCTTTCCTGCGTAACATTTTCTCTTTAGACGAATAGTACACCAATAATTCGTAGAAGCGAAAATACTGTTATTTAACTAAATTAGATTACCATCTTTGAAATGTAAAAATGCCTCCCAACATACATACACACCACAAAGACAGTAAATTACAGGACTAAATCAGATATGTATGATAATACAACATACAAGTATACTACAACAGCCACTTATAGCAACACATCTTCAAACTCTCTCACACACACGGCAGACAGACTGCTGCTGTATTTTTTAACGAAATACTGCAACAATGATCTTACCTGAACGAAGAAATGTTTAACATTACCTAACCCCTTGTAAATCTAACCTATATAAAAGCCAGTGTGTGTTATATCACGCTTGATTTCTCGGAATATGAGGAGTCTTAAAAGCCAAAATGCATTTATCCAGATAGAATAGTTTGATTACTGTCTGCCCATTACGATTTTAGTGACGGGGGTGAAAGGGGGCTGTGAGGTGGGAGTGCCGTGAAACCTCATAAGTGTAGTGAATGTTCGTATAATAAGCCTAAAGTAAAGGCGTAGTGTGGGATCACCTAACCAAGAGCCAAGTGCATAAAATTTAATATTGGCGGTAAAAGTATCAATTCAATATTAAAATTAAATTGTTTCTGAATTAAGCTATTTTCTGTTATATCACCAATGTTTTAAATGAAAAACAAACCTCTTTAATCAACGGAGACTAAATTAAAAAATCAACAAATATTTTACCAGTTTTATTATCTATACGTTTCATCTTATACTTTCGGTACATAGACTGACAACAATATTAGGTTATACTTTTGTTGGTAAGCAACATGACATAAAAACCATTGTTGGAACGTAGTGTTAACAAAACTCACTGGCTTTTCTATATATTAATCTAACTAATTTTTACCAATAATAATTCTATGAATACGCCACGAATTAATTTCATGAATGATCTTAATTTTGATTGACTCACAAAGGAATTTACTAACGTTTGACTGCCTTGACTGCACTTCTCTGCATCTTTATTGGCCAAGCTTGATTTCGCAAAATTTAGTTAGCTGTGAAATGTGAGATTAGAGTATACTATGTGGTGGGGATGATAGTACTTGTTCCATCATTTTTGACAGGCTATACGGTAGCAGTAACATAATTTAGGCTGTATACGTACATAATAATAACCGTAGCACTATAGGCCTATTTGTTAATGGCCAAATTTATAAGACTGCATTGCCGAAAAAAAAGAACATCACAAAACGAAAATAAAACAGTTTAATGTAGACGCTGTTTAGAAGCCGTAATTTTATATTTTAATATCATTATTAGTGGTCAGTGATAAATTGATTTCGATGGAAAAGGCCAATTTTTTTACTTCTATTTATTAACTATAACTTTTCTTTTCCGTAGGATGTATTTTTAAAAACGAATGTCTTATTTTTAGTACAAATGGAATACAATTTTAAATTTTAGGCACTGTGTGTTGTTCTACTATTGTTGGAGTAGGAGTTAAATCTTTCATAACGAATGGATGCTCACAATAAGCCCAATCATTGTTTATTTTGTCTCTTGGAAAATTTGGCTATTTAGGCTTAATAAAAATCATCAAAATAATAATACTTATATACATGAACCTCGGAGTTTAAATATAGCGACCCCTAATTTTGAATTAGCGACCAGAGTGAAAGGAACCATGTAAGTAGCATCTGCCACTAGAAACACTTTGGCCGGCTTTGAACCAAGTAACGGGATTGGTCTCCTATTTATATAATACAACCACATATGAAAGTGCGGAGCATGTTTATCAGCATTGCGGCGCAAACTTTTAAAATAAAGTAGCAGTTACGTGATAACATGTGCAACCATACATAATTAAAACATGTGAGTTATTTCTTTAAATTTAAGTTTAGTTATTTTATCGTTATTTTTTAATTCGTGAAAACCCAACGGTACAAATAGAATAAATAAATATATTTTTTTTCATTCAGGAAAAGGCTGATTTTGATACTTATCTCCACAAAAAGCTGGTACTCGGATTAATATTCTTATTTATTTATTTCAAATAGTGATATTATTTTCAGGTTATTTTGAGAATACAGTTGATAACTTGGTTCAGTATGCTTAGATCATTCAGTTTTATAGTCATATTGCAATAACTAGACTAGGCTTAAGGAGTGTTTATATCTTTACCATTGTTTTAACGGTTTACGGGAAATAAGGCGGTTGCAGCTTACCCGATATGTTTGTTTCCCTGTAGCCAATTTATTTGAATTAAGGGTAGCATTACGCTACCTGGACTGTGCACTGACAAACATACATTGCTGGGACTCCATAACTGGAGGAAGGATAGTCTGTGCTTTGGCCGATACTGAACTCCTCATCGTGTAAGTCAAATCAAAAACAAACTTATGAGATATTATATATATTTCATATTAGTTTAATAGGATATTTTCGAAATATAAATCCAACGGTATGTACAAGACCAAAGCCTTTGCACTGACCTTTAACAGGAGAAGTTGATTAAAATAAAGCAGTACTGGAATTAGATTTCGCACGAGTTTTCTTTCTTTTCCCCCATCTTGTAAAGATGATGAAGTAGATTAGAGTAAATGTTATTAACAGATAGCACGAAAATCTGCTCATTCTTAAAAGTTTAATGTTTACCAACAACCAGTCATTAGAAATTATTTTTATACGAGGGCACTAAACGAGTTGCTTCCTCTTACATCGAATAACATATTATCTGGACATATTATGCATTGTTGACAAAGGGTGAATTTTTTTCTGTACTTTACATCTTTAGCACATATATTTGGGTACGAATTGTAAACATGTAAGATCATCTTGATGTTATTTGTCTCTGATAATTTTTTCTATTATTATTATTATTAAAAATACCTTAAATAAGTAAGTCTTATTCCTCATAGTATTTTTATACATTTCTGAATTATTAAAATATGTAGTCTCACATACTCCTAAATAATTGTTAGCTTTTTTCCCGACATTTATGTTTAATCTCAAAAGTTTGGAATCGAAGGCTTAATAATTTCTCGAGTATTTTTTTTAGTTTATTATCACACCTGTAGCTCATGGATAGGTGTAGATGTATTTTCTTATATATATTTATTTAAACTTTTAGTTATGACACCGACCTATTTGTTATTCAAATAATGCTGACATAAAAAATATATGTATATTGAAACTTAATTTATTAAAAGAAAGTACAATAATTTAAACGCTGCTTTAGATTCATGTTAGAGAAGTATTGAGTTTGATCTAATTACTGAACAAATTATTACTATTTTTTTATTTCTCTAAATGGCAAATGGTATAATATATTACAAGCACAAACATCGTTGACGTAATTAGATTAAAATCTTGTAAAGTTCTGCGAGGATAAAGTAGATCAAAGATAAGTTAATTACAACGCTAGAATCCGGAGTTTGATTCCCCGTGTTGGACAAATAGCCCATTGTGTATAGCTGTGCGTTAACAACAACAAAAACAAACACTTTTATATAATATTGTTGTAATCTCACTAGAACCTAATATGACATCATTGTAACCTAAAGCGCTTCGGTAGGCACAAGCGAGGTTTTTCATTCTCAACCGGTAGGGGGGGGGTATAACCGAGCTGTTTGACTAGAAGTCAATTCAGACAGAAGAGTGCACCTTTTCTAATCTCCCACAAATTGTTATTTGTTAACTGACATATAACCCTATATTCTTAATTGAGGATTGAAGAAAATGTATTATAAATATTTATAAATGCAGAGCGGTTTATTCTTTTTTGTTATTGAAGGGGTTCTTTTGAAAATGCTCTTTTTTTACTTGTTTCGTTTCATCGAGATCAAAATGTTCCATAAGTATGTTACCTTTTTACAATGTTTCTATTCATTAATGAAGAAGATTCTTTAAATAAAATTATACTTTATTGCCTATAACTGTAGTGGTTGAATAAGGTATTATTACGCTAAACACCGCTTTTAAAATTTGACAAACAAGTACGTAGAATCTTAACAATAAACTTGCTTGCTACATATATTTAGAACACGAGGTCTTTCGAAAATGCGTTTACTGTGCCATCCGTTATCTTCAGTATTACGAATATTGGAAGTTAGTGACTTTTAATTATAATAAACTCTATATAACACATTATAATCGCTATATACATATTTCTACAGATTGAAACTTGAACAGCAGTCACGTAAAAGCTTCAACATAAAACGATGGCTAAGGCAAGCAGTTCGCTCCTAAGATCTGAACTGGTCTCTCATGATTACAAAAACAAATTTTATATCTAAGAAAATTTAACAGAGTATGTACAGCTGTACAATTTAATACATGAAAACTGCTTGAGATTAATTCAAAGCAGAACCAGCGGTTTTAAACGTCCCTGTTCCTCCGGACAGGATTTTTTTTTCTTTTAATAAATAGTGGCAACTATTTTTAAATATTTTATTTGTAAAGGCCGACCGTATTCTTCGTTCAGGTTGCAACTAACTGATTCATCCTAATTACAGTAATGTTAAGAATTAAAATCTAAATTTCATTCGCTCTATTGATTGTAATAAAATGAAATATGGAACAGTTTGGCATGCATAGGTTTGGCAGCCAATTCTACTTGAGCAAGTATCTCTTGTTTACAAACTCAAAACTATCCTGCCTGTTTTCAAGAAACAAGATGACAAAATCCACATTGATGACCTTTCTAATTGACTGGTTTTTCAAAAGATTCTATTTCTTTAAAACGATGTTCACTGTCTTCTGTACAAAAGGAAATTATCTATTTTTGATCGACATGACGATGGTGACTTCTGCGTAAAAATAAAAATATATATATTTATAATAACTGAAGGTTGTAATTTTCAGAAAACGTTATTCCTTAAAAACAAATACTCGGTAGGCAGAAATATATACAATTAACATATTTTTTCTATGTTAAGTGAACAAAATATCTATGATATTAAATACATTTATTGTTGATGGGGTTATAAAAAAGTAATGTATTTTATATTATTATTATTATTATCACAACAAATAAAAAAACATCGACATATAATTTTCACATTATAATGATAATAGTATTCTAATTTATCTCCTTGTAATTATTATCAACCTCTCCATGGCTCACCTGTGATAACCATTACATAAAAGAACACATTATTATAAATTTAAATTTGTCTTAACGGGAGTTTATGTATATAAGCTTCAACTGTTTGATTACGATGAAATTTCGACTTTCTTTCTTTTTTCTTCCTTAATGTAACATTAGTATATAGACAGTTGTTTATATTAAGACCGAATGGCTATTTCATGGAACAAATGAAAATTAGTCTAGTTGTTAGCATGTAACACTATAGTATGCAAATCACATTTGGTGTTTATTGTCTTCTTTAGTTCAGTAAGGGAGGTAAGCGTTTCATGTTCATTAAGAACTTTCATTATTTTTCTTACACACAAGTCTCTAACTGTGTATTTAGTTTTGACAATAAAACGTTAATTATGGAATGAGATTAAACTTATTTCGCCGTGATACTTATTGTTCAGGGCCATTACCCTTTGATGTCACATGCATTTTCTCATGGGAAAGATTCTTGTATAGTAGAATACGCCAGCAAAAGGTGAATTGCGATCTTTTCCTTTGGCAGATCATATGATACCTGAAGGATTTATCCTCCTCATTTTTTTTATTAGAATGACCAACAGTGATGTGGGTAGTGCAAATGCATTGAGATGGACGGCACAACAGAGTGTCATATATAGTGTTGTACTGTCATCCTCTGGAACAAGTTACAGATCTAAAACAAAAGTTAGATCCCCAGTAAAGCACTGTCTAATCGACCTGTACACTCATTTGCCACGTTCTTTTACACAATGCTATTCAACATTATATCATGTATTTGATGTCAGAGTTGTCAACTATTTATTTAACCTTACATTGTTGATTTAGTGACAGTTCGTGGTAGAGGAGAGTAACTATCAGATATAATATACAGGATACGGAAAAAACTGTATATGTGCATTTTAGAGGTTCTAAATGATATGCAATTGCAGTGTGTAAACTGTAAGACAGGCGAAAGTATTTTGATTCTTCACATGAACATCATCTTGCACTCTGACTTGTTAGAGTATGAGTCAGACTGGTGTCATATATTCACTGACAAGTCTTGAGTACAAATACTGTTGTAACACATCTTATTTTTTGTGTACAAAGACTTGTGCATTTTATCAAAACCTTGCCATATTTTGTGTAGATACAGATAGTGAATTCAGGATTATAGTCAACATTCTATCTCCAATATGTGGTCAGTCTGACAGAGCAATCCAATTCATATTTATTTAATCTGAAGTAAAAAAAAAGAATAGTATAGCCAGAAATACCACAGAATAGGGTAGTAAGGAGAAAATTTGATGCCATGATTGCATGATAAATTTTTACAGTTTTCTGTCTTCTTGGCGAGTATATTTTACTTTGCTCTTCTTAATTCTTGTGTGATTTAGTTTTAAAATTCTTATACAAGAGAATATGGCATTTTCAGTGAGTTGAATGATTTATAACCAATAGCGTGAGTTTGTCACTTAGGGTAGACGACTGTCTGAGATAGTGATCATGTCTCAGAGAAGTCTTCTCCTGGATGGCTGTCTTTCACTACTGCCAATGTCCATGACCATGATCTCGTTGAATACACAGACTCAGGAAGGGGAACAGACACAGAATGGTATGGCCATAGCTACAGACTGAGTTCTATCTCCAGAGGATTCGTCTAGGGCAAAGGAGACATGAATGATTGCAGATAGACATGGTGACTTCAGTCTAAAAAGACTGAAACCAAATGGGGCAGTATGTATCAAATTCCCAGGCCTTTGTCAACCAATATAGCCCAAACCTGACATTTGGAGGTGCCAACTAAGATTAGATGAGAGAGGCTGCAGGTGCAATTGGTGGATGACATACACAAGCCCAACCTGTTACGCCAGCAGGTGAAACAGTAGGCATTAAATAGTGAATATGGTGACCTGTTGAGGATCCATGTTTTACTGTGACTGGAGGCATGTTTCCAGTGTGACCATGGGTCATTGAAACCTGGGGTCACATATAGCTCATGGATGAGGTGTTCTCTGCATCTACTTGTTCTACCTCCTTGGGGCATGGATCTAACATTTGTATAAATATAGGGGACCCTGAGCATATGTACTGTAATGCACCACAACATTTAGGTCTTCTCAGCCTGCTGTTAGCTGAGACTGTGGGAGATATGCTGCTGCTGGCACCATAAGTACCTTTGAATGAAGCTAGAAACATTTCTTCCACAACATTCAAGATGTGACTAAAGAAGACTCACAGAGTTTCTTGAAACTTCCATCCAGTTAACTAATTGGAATGGCTGAACTCAAGAACAAGCAATGCAATGCCTGATATTGAGTTTGGATGATTTGGTGCTTGACTCGTGGATTTGAGTGAGGAGAAACTAAGTGACTGGAATACAGTTGGCCAAGTTGTGCTGAAGGTTTAATTCAATGAAGAACCAAGCTATCCATTGGGTTTAGTTTAAGGTCTGAAAGAGAGGGTCCCATAGAGAGCATGACTACTTACATGAACAATCTGTTCCATCTACGTAGGAAGGCATATTCTGCTACAGTGTCAGAAGATCATGAGGATATCCTTGTTGAAAGGTTTATTAACGGACTATCAAGTAAGATGATATGACATCATCTGGTTGTGAAGGACATTCTCACCCTGATGGAGGAAGTATCTGTGAAGACTAGGTTTGAGGTGGTAACTTTCAACAAGTCACAAGAGAGGAAGAAGTTTACACCTGTAGTGTCTATACTTCATCTAGACTGCTTTCCTGCAGAGCTGGCACCACTGAAAGTACATCAGCTGTCAAAACATACTGGTGCTGCAACACAACCCCATAGGCACTGTTTCATGTTCAGAAAGCAAGCAGCATTAGATTGAATGATTATTTATCTGAAAGATTTTTGCACTCCTGGTGTTGGTCTGTAATTATAGACATTTTGCTATACAGAATTCTACAGGAGTAGTCATTAGCATGGTTATGAAGTGCATGTAACTGAAACTTGTGATACTGTTATGGTTGCTTCTGTCATGTTGAGTCCAAGAGAGAATACCGGCAGTTACAAGTGCATAAAGTTGTGCTATAAATGACTGATATCAATCTTTGTTGTAGCTGGTGTTCCCAGAGCTCTGATGGTGGAAATCTTACATAATGCAAGGACTGGGGCCACCAAGGGGGTTGTTCTATGAGCTAGATTCATTTCAAGAACTTGACTGGTGTGTGTAAACATTGTATATTGTTTGGTACCTAGAGAAAATATGGCCAAGAAGGGAAAACATTAGCACTGGTTGATACATTAGTACTACGCATTGCCAATATACTGGTGGAGCACTGAATATCATAGTTTAGCTCCTCTAAAGACATTCACATTGACCAGAGAGCTAATTGTGTAAAGTGGTGGGTGTGGTGAATTTATGCACTTCAACTTATCACCCCAACCTGATGATTTAACAAAAGGGCAATACAAATTAGCAAGCAAATGCTCATACAGTTTGTCAATCCTAACAGAATTAAATGGGATGAACACTTGCTATCTGTCTTGATGACGTATCAAGTAATTGAACAGTTTTCAACTGTTGTTTGCCAAACATGCTCATGTTTGGCAAAGAAATACAGCTTCCTATGGATGTGGTGTATGGTGTCTGCATCCTCTTGCAGATGTACCACAGTGTACTTGAGGATATGTGGAGTGGATAAGGTCTGTGTTATTTAGGCCAATTGGTTGAGAATATACGTGAAAAAATGTGATAAAGCGTTAAGTTTGTTGCAGTATAAAAAGACGACCATATCTTAGTTTTAACCTGACTGAACACAGCCATAATGTTTTACTATGTTGTATTTCAAATAGTATTCACATAATGATCAATGGATATCTGAAAGAACATAACTTAATATTATGCAGGTAAACGTTAATCATGATTAGATGCTTGTCTGAACCTAAAAACCCAATGTATCTATCACTAAGTTGCATTACACACGTTGTTTATGAAATGTGCTCATAGTTCTCAGTACATCATGTGTTACTTATGTTGTGACACTTGTAGCCATCGTTAGATGGCGCGACAATTGTTAACAAAACAAGATCTGTCCTAGTGCACCATAATACTTTTATTTTCTGTTTGTATGTTCAGGCAAAAAGCTGCAAAATGGGCAAGTTGAACTGTGAAAATGCAGGGATTGAACCTTGAATATCAGCGTTGAAATCCCCAACATTATCGCTTAGTCACTGTGGACAATTCCTTTAGTAGCCTGAAGCTCAAGATGATGAGCCGATAAACGTGATCACAATCGATTCAGCTACTTCACAATTTAATATGTAAATACTCACTCTTCCATAATTTATGTCATATTTACAAAAATTTTCTAGTTCTAATTCGGTACAATCTAAATCCGGTCAAGGTCATGTGCTAAATTTAGTCCTAAGTGTAAATTTCCAAATATTGTGAAGATCAGGTAACTGTATGCTAGGTTTCTCCATAGAATATTACAACAGCATGCTCATTTCTGACTCACACTGAGCGCGTTTCATTTACGATCAGTGTTGGATTTTTGAAGATGATTAACAGCATACAAATGTTAATAGACGACAGCAAGTTATACTGGATGGAGAATGGTAACGTTTTGACTGTTTCTACTTCTTCAAATATGTTTAACTTTCTGTGATAATATTTTAAAACGAATTTTCCGAAAATGAGAAAAATATCAACAAATTGGATGGTTAACATCCCATTAAA